TACTGTTAAAGATTGTAATGTGATTCATACAGAGAAGAGCAATAAGAAAAGTGAGACTACAGAAGCTTTAGTTTATTGCAATGATATCGAAGGTCTTCTAAAAGTAATTCATGAGAAAAGAAATAATACTGAAACGCATTTAAAATTCGGCATTGACGGTGGAGGTGGATTCTTGAAAATTTGTCAATCAATCAGGACTACCGGGACAACTAAATTTAAAGACAGTAGCGTCAAAAAGCTATTTTTGCTCGGAATAGTCGCTCATACCGAAGAAAATTATGAAAACGTAGCGATGTTGTGGTTTCTATTGCAAATAAATAAATATGAGGCGACGATAGCAACGGACCTAAAATTAGCCAATATTCTCACAGGAATTATGTCCCATTCGAGTTGTTTCCCTTGTACATGGTGTTCTGCACACAAAGATAAATTAGATATTTGCGGAGAATACAGAACTTTAGAGATCTGTTCAAGAAAATATAGAGCTTGGCGCGAAAGTGGTGGCCAAAGAGCACGAGCAAAGAATTTTGAAAATTGTATGCATCTACCGATCATTGCAAGTAGGAATGATACAAAAATAATAGATATAATTCCCCCACCGGAATTACATTTGTTGTCAACACGCTCTACAACCACATGCTTAAGGAGTTTGAGAAAGATGCTTTGAAATGGGCTAAAGAATGCAATGTAATCCAGCAATTCGTTCATGGAGGTCCTGCATTCGCAGGAAATGCGTGTAGATCACTTCTTGGAAAAGTTGATCGCTTACGTAGGTCATGTTCCGTGGGATGTCTAAAGTTTGTCCAATGCTTTTCAGACTTTAATACTGTTGTAAATTCAAAATTTAAAGAAAGCTATTGTGACTTAGGGATTTCTATCACTCCTAAAGTTCATGCCGTGATTTTTCATGTTCCTGATTTTTGTAAACAAAGACAACAAGGCCTGGGGTCTTATAGCGAACAAGCTATGGAATCTGTACATGCTGACTTCAAGAAAATTTGGAACAATTTCAAGATTTCGAAGGAGCATCCAGAATATGCAAATAGATTACTTCGGGCAGTACAGGAATATAATGCTAGACACATGTAATTAATATGAAGTTTTGTTATATGTAGGTATGTCAGTATTAATTTATTAAATGTTTTTTAAAGTGGCATGGTTTTTTTTACAGATTATGCAACAATGATATTGATTTAAGGCCTTCTTCATATATCCATCACTTTAAAACTGATGTTTTATTTATAATATTTATATATTTATTTTGTTGGTGTTTAATTTATTAAAAATAAACAAATTTATCCTTAATCTGCAATCTTTGTACAGAAACACCCACCTAAATTAACAAAAGCTAACCATAAAATATCGCTAGTGATTGTTGGTTATTTTCACTCTTAAAAATAGGTTTTCTCAAAAACGGCTCGGGGAAAAAGTCTGAAATATTGGATTTTGACTCATTTTAATACACAGATTCTAAATCTGCAAACAGAATTTTTGTGCAAATTTTCGTCATTTAAACATGCTTCAGCCCCACCGTGTTTGTTGTGTTGTTGGGTGTTTTTCGAAAGTAAATCCTGGGTTAAGTTTTTATCGGTTTCCCAATAAACAGTGCAAATCCGAATAAAAAAATAAATTACAAACAGTCCCTGTATATAAAATGTACCTATTATATACAATAAATACAGATTTTAGTAATGATTTACGTGAAAATTGTAAACATTTCTATTTAGTAAAAATAATAAAACGATTGAGTCGTCTAAATTCAAACAGCGTTATGCATTATTAAAAGCTTTGATTGAGAAAGTATCCACTCAACGGTAAAAAAACAAAAACGGGTCTTAAATTATGTATCAGATATAATATTATGTTGCCATGAACTCGTAGATATACTCGTATATATATTTTAAATTAGGTAACGTTATTTTATTAGTTATATAATAATATATTAGTTTTAAATTTCAATAAAACAGTATGTATGACTTTTGCTAATTATGTGGATACTATACCAACCAATATGCAGATATATGGATAAATAGAAGTAAGTTAGTACCTGCAAATACCTTAGCCTAATGTATGATCAACATTTAAGATGGAAGACTCATATAAATTATATCACAAATAAGCTAAAGTATCTAATTTTATAAACTAAAGAAAATATTATCCATCAAACAACTGCTCCAACTATATTTTTAACAGCATATCAACGCGTATCATAGGATGGGGAGGAGTTTATGAAAACGCATACAAGCAACTGGATACTTTACAAAAAAAAATACTCAAAATAATTGGTATAAAACAAGATGACATAATCAGGACATTAGACATAAAATAAACTTTAGTTGAAAAGGCTATATTGAGGCAATACGAAACATTAAAAAGCAAATACGATAAACAAAGCACAAACACAAAAAACAAGAGTCTGCAACTACCAAGACACACATTATCAATAGTGCAAAGAGGCTATGAATATTATGCTATATATTATTACAATCAATTACAGAACAACATAAAAAATCTAAATGAAAGTAAGTCCATAAAAAAGAAAACTGAGATGGTGATAAAAACTTAAATGTACAGTAAAAATATTTTTTTAATAAAGTTAGGGTTTATTAATTTGTCAAATCAAATAATTAATAAGGTATATAAATTATATTTATGTTAAATTATAACATATATAGTTTTAAGGGGCATTTGCAATGTAAGGAATTTGGTAATAATAAATAAATACAAATAAATATAAAAATAAATATAATAATTTAAAGTTTGGTTTTTAACAAAAACTGTCAGAAAAACCATCTGTCAAACATGTTACGTTTAGTTAGCTGATTAAAGCTAACTGCAGATGTCCTGTTAATTTTGATTTCATAATAACCGTTTCGGCTTAGAAAAAACACATTTGATAACTTTAAAATTATTTTATGTTTATATTTTCTTACAGAAATACTCGACTCGCGTATGCCACGGTGGTATTTTTTGAGTTACCTTTTATTTATAAATTAATTTGCTATTTTACTTTAAAGGGTTGAGTCACACCCTTTAAAAAAACGGAAAACAATATCGATTTGAAATAAAAAAAAATTTTTTTTAATGTTTGGCTTGTCAATGTTTTTATAAGTCACTGACTGCTATTTTTTATTTTACAAAAAAATTAAATTAGTAAAAACTTGTTTAAAACTATCTGAAAAATTGACGCCATTAAATTTTGAACAACAGGTTTCTTGTTGCAAAATAATATTTAAAATTTTAGAAATTTATAAATATCTTTGAAACTGTTAACTTTAAGCATAGGCAATAGTTACATCAATCAAAAGGTTTTTTAATTTACTATTTGAATATGTAAAATCATACCGGATATTAAATTAAACATTTCAATTTATCCTAATTTGCCCTTGACTTTTCTCAGGTAATTTGTTAAAAAAGAATTGACATGGATTCCACCTAGGAATTCTTCATTACACAAATAATTAACTTTCCAAATAATGGCGCAAAATTCTACGTTGACAGCGCTAACGCCCAAAAATTGACTTAAATTTTAAAATTTTATTTATGCAAAAGTCAATTTTTTTGAAAATTTTCAAATTTTTACGGATAGTATCCGCACACGGATATCGAGAAAAAAAGTGAATTTCCAACGATGATTATAATCATATAATATTATGATTATAAAAATTATTCCTTTTATTTTAATCCAGTAAGAATATTCTACCGGGCCGCAAAAAAACATAATTTATAAAATTATAATTTTTTAATTTAACCTTATAAACCATTCATTATTTTATAGTTAGATATTTTTAATGGACTCCTTTTTGCAACAAAAAACCCAACAGACAGTATAATTCACGTTAACGTTTATTTTCTTAAATTTAATTTAAAGGTTTTTTTTTGTAATAAAGGATTTTTTTTTATTTAAAATAATGTTAAGTTGTTGATTGCCACTTTTTTTCCAATGTGTATATTTTCTAAAAAAAAATCATTTCTTCCCAAAAAAGCCAATTTTCCCAAGGCCTGGAAAAAAACGAAAAAAAACAGTTTTTTCCCAATTTTTCCGTTTTTTTTGACACTTTAAAACCCTACTACTGAGAACATTGGGAACAAAAATACACAAAATGAGTAATAATAATTATAATAAAAAATAATAAAGATAATTAATTATATTATATGGATAATGAAATACCTTGTATAGAATATGTATATGTATATTTGCTAGTACTAAGTAAAAATGTAACATGAAAAAAAAAAAATTTAGCTATTTTTTAGTTTTTTAGTTTTTTACTACAATTTTTAATTCAAATGTTTTTTTTACATTTTATGTGTTTTTTTCTTATATTTTTTTTATTAATCCATTCAATCATAGGTTTGGTCTATTAGATTCTTTTTGGCAAAGAAAACAAATTTAATCTTAAAATAATTGACTTATATAATCTTATAATAAATTGTTTCAAAAAATAATTAAAATTTATAATATAATTATAATGATTATAATCAATAAAAATAATTTTTGTTAAAATTTTAAATTTTGATGACTTCAAATTAGTTCAAAATTAATTAATTAATTACTATCGAAAAAAAATCTATTTTTAACTAGTACTAGTACTAAATACAAACTTTAAAAATTATATTTAATATTATTTTATTAATTAAATGTAATAAAAATAGTTTGTTAAGAAGAATTGAAATTTATTTTTTATCGTTGTCTAAGGAAGTTTTAATATTCTACAGCTTATTTTTAAATGCCTTTTAATTTTCTTTAATTATAAATGGACAAAGTTTAATGAATGCTCCTATATAACAAACCTTAAAAGAATATAAATTTTTTACTTTTAAAACTTAAAGTATTTTTATTTAAAATATATATAATGAAAACTATAGAACAAAGGTTATAATTTAAAAACAAAGCTTTAATTTAATTAGCACATTTCAAAGATAACATAAATTAAATCACTACATAAAATTAAACATCGTGCCGCATAGTCTACACAAAGAAAACGAAATTAGGGTCATACCTGCTCAGTGCTTTGTTCTTCAATAACGAGCTTTACTTCCAATGATTGTCTTGTTTCGAGAAACGCTCTTCGCTGTTGCTTGTCTTCAACCAAATAGGACGTGAGCCCCAATATGTTGCTTGTCAATAAGAGGATGCAGTTGGAGACGTGCTGAAAAACAATTAAAGTAATAAGGTGAATTGTTTTTAAAATGTTACATAATAAAAATGTTTTGGCATTTTATACTTTTTCTTAAATTTTAAAATTTTACAAAATAAAATGCGTTTTTAACATGTTTAGACAATTTCCTTACTTTATCTTTTTGTTATTTTTGTTTTAAATAAACCCAAACAATGTTTGTAAAACATTCTTCATAAATTTTTTGTGGATTTATTATTATACAGGTATATTTAAAAAAATATTGAAAGTAATTAGAAGGGACTACATTCTAGACGTATTATTTAAATTAAAGTTTATTATTATTTTTATACCTTTTTTAACATTTTTAAGAATTAAATATAATTTTTTTTGTTATATTTTTTAACTTTTTGGTACCTATAACAGTGTGCGAGAAATTAAGGGTGACCAATTTTAATATTAAAACCTTCAGTGGGTTTGTTAAAGTTAGCTTTATTTTTTTATGACCTTATGATTTTTGAGTAATTTATTGTATACTGATATACGTTAAATTTCGTTTAATAATTTGGCAAACTTACTTAATGTTTCTCGTTTCGACTTTTTGTGAAAAGGTTTTTAATCTCAAAATAATTTAAATTTTAAATATTTAATGCAATAAAATTTTGTTTGTGGGCTTAATGTTCGATGTTTAATGTTTAAATGTTTCCCTTTCTTTAGTCTCCTTCACTTTATATTATTTGTTTTTATTTAAGAATAAATAAAAATTAAAGTATTGTTAAAAAAAATTGAGTTCAATGATGAAATGTTGCCTTTTTTATAATTTTAAGTCGCCTATGCATTACTGGCGTTATAAAACGTCAATCATTTTTTTAATTAACTTATAAAAATAAGCTATTTTTAAATTTTCCAAATTTAAACAATAATTTAAAAAAATGTAAATTTTGTATACCTTTGCAAAGGAGTCCAACTTTTTTGTTTTTTTATTACCTACTAAAAATATAATTATTTTATGGTTTTATAAGCTATTTTATTATAATTTTTAAATTTTCCGAATTTAAATAATAATTTAAAAAAATGTAAATTTTGTAAACCTTTGTTGTTTTGTATTACCTTGTACCTACTAGAAATATTAATATTTTATGGTTTTATACAGTGTTGCAGTCAGTTTAAAAATCCCTAAACTTGTTAAAAAAAATCCCCAGAATTCCTTAGTTTAAACAATAATTATACAAAAGAGTATAAATAAAAATGTTTTTATTTAAATTACTAAATTAATAAAACAAACTGTACCGTAAACACGGGTGGCTTTGCACCCCGCGGGTGACTTAAACCCTTTTATGAAAAATATTTTCGCGCTCGATAAAATTAACATTTATAATTTGTTGGTCTAAACCTGTCAATTGACCGATTCTATTAAGTTTATATTACAGAAAAATCAGTGTTTTAAAGAAATAAATGGGATTTATTAAACTTTAAAATTGTATATATTGCATCAGTGCAAAACTCTTAAAAATACAATTTCTATATTATGCGCCATCCTTTGGAATGATGATCCTTGGTTAACTACAGATCGATTTTTTTTATCGGTAAACCCTTGCAATGGCTATATGTCGCTGCTAACATGTGTCTAATAAAAATAAAATAAAATATTGAGTTAATTTTATACGGAAAATACACTGTGAGACAAAGTTGCCCGCAACCAGGGGATAACTTTGCACACCCAGTTTTTAATTTTTATTTTTGAAACTCAGCCCTATGTAATATTATAACATAGTTATTATGAAAGAGCAACTGAAGACTCAAATTTTGGTATACAATATTTAATGTTTATGATTTTTAAAACCACAAAAAGTTTAAGCTTAAGTTTGAAAGTCAGCTAAAGCCACCCGTGTTTACGGTAGGTACTCATTTAAATATATTATAAAAATAAAAGACCATACGAATAAAACAAAATCTTAAAATAAGTGTTTTCAAAATTCCGATAGTCGTAAAATATTCTTAGAACTAGGAAAAAAATCACTTAGTTGGCAACACTGTGGGTATGGCCGTTAGTTAGTTCACTTATGATGACTATTATGATTTTTCGATGTAGAACAAATTTAATCGAAGCCTTTATACTTTGACAGATGCATAACCTCAATCGCAAATTATCAAAAGAGTTCGTTTAGCAAGGTGAGACTTATGAATGTGGATCATAGTAAAAAAAATACAATTTTGGTCAAAAAAGTAAACCAGGTAGGTAATTAATATAATAAAAAAAATATTTTTTGGTATAAAAAAAGGTAATTTAGGTGCAAAAAAATTAAATAAATAAAAAAAAAGGTACATTCTTTACGTAAAATAAAACTTGGTTGGACACACATATTTTGTACTTTCTTTATACTTAACATTTATTGCATTGAAATAAATAATTTATCTTTTAAAAAAATAATTATTTTTTAAATTAATACTAACAGTGGGATATTAGTTATTAAAAACCTATTAAAATTTAAAAAACTAAACTGATCAATAATTTAAAATAGCAACTTAAATAAAATTATAAAACTGTTTTAATTTAACAATATAAAATTGAACAAAGAAAGTATTATTAAATAAACCATTAAAATTAAACAGCTATTTTACCTTAGCAATTAGTATTCTTTAAAAGGAAAAGCAAACAGCAAATAGCTCAAATAAAAAAAAATTGGCCTGAAGGGTAATTAGTTGGTTTTTAGGTTAGCACGGTTAAGGGTTGAAACAGAATACGCTGTAACACAAAACGCCAGGTCAGGTGTACATTTTTTAAGCGAATAAATATTGTCAGGCAATATATAATTGTGTATTCCAGAAGAATTTTAGAATAAGTTTATCTGTTATATGAGTACCTTAGATGCAAAACTCGGTTTTTGCAAATTAAAAAATAAAATAAAATTGACTTTAAATTCTGTTTAGTGTTCGTCCTAGATAAATGGCGTTCATAAAACTTGATACATAATAATATTATATTATATATATTATTATGTATCAAGTTTTATAAACGCCATTTATCTAGGACGAACACTAAACAGAATTTAAAGTCAATTTTATTTTATTTTTTAATTTGCAAAAACCGAGTTTTGCATCTAAGGTACTCATATAAAAGTTTATATTTAGTAATTTTTATTTAAAATCATACATTATTTTAAAACATATCTAACATATGTTTATTGTTATATTTCATTATTAAATACTAAATACTTTTAACCTATTATTATTATAAATTACATTTTATAAATTTATTTTATTGACACGTGTGTATATTGTTTATTGATTATATAATTTTAGTCACCTGGATATGTAAATAAAACTTATTTTTGGTTTAAATGTTTTAAAATCATATGACAACCTGAGTAAAATGATATACACTGCTTAACAATTGAAGTTGATATTACAGAATTTTTTAAATTGTCAGCGTAAACATTTAAACTAAAAATTGCAAATACATAATAATAGTTTACCCATAGACGATAGTTTACCGATAGACAACAAAAGAAATTAAAAAACATTTATTAAATTTAAAGAAATGTGTAAAATTTTAGACCACAAGTTTGTCTTTTTTATGTTTTTATGGATTTATTTATAGGAGATAACAATTTTCAACCCATCTCTGTAATAATATAACTATACCGTTAACCTGAATAATCTAATTAAAAAAAGATCTTAAAAATAAATATAATATTTTTACTTACTTAAATTTACTACAATACTGGTGGCAAGGAATTTTATACTAATGCCAAGCTTTCTCCCAAGCATACTTTATTACAAATAAGTTTTGCGCTGGGATATCTATAATAAAATTATAAAAGTTTTGCAATAAATGTAAAAGCAAGTACGAGAAAATACATAAACTTAATAAAACGAAACTAAATAATATGTCGTTATATATTTTATTTAAAAGCAGAAATACCTATCTAAATTGAATTTTTATTCATCTTTAATGTAAAAAATGTGTACGTTTTCAACATAAAAATGCTTTCCATTCATTTGCATAAAGCTAAATGAAATAGGTTTTTCATGAACTATTGAAATTTTTCCTATCTGTTTTTAAAGTATTTGCAGTCTTTTATTTTTGCACTTAGCAGTTTTTATTATTTACAATTGATTTTTTACGAAATTTTTTTTTACTATACAGAGTCTCCTTGGTTTTGGTAGTAGGATTACACTGGCGTATGCATAAAGTTGTTTTAACTATTAAGTTCTTATAAACCTATTTTTATTGCTCCTTTCTAAGATACACGGTGTTAAAATTATTTTGTGATTTATGACTTTGAGCTTATTTTGGCAGCTTTCTCATGTTAGGCTCTACCGATGGTCCAGAAGTGGACTATTTAACCGCTCTCAGAAAGCATTACCAACTATTGATTAAACCACGTAGCTAATATTGGCATATTTTAGAATCGTTTATTTATTAGTTTAAAAAAAGAATAACTTAAACAAACAGAAACCGCCAGACGATTATAAGGAATTTTTAAGCTGGTTTCTTCTGTTTCTTCTGCGGTCCTGGCCCTATAGCTCTATTTTTGAGCTTATTTTATGTAAAATTGTGTTATAAAGCATTATACTCAATCCTTATGTATATTTTATTTCTTTGCCTTTTTTGACACTCGGTCGTCACATTCTTAACAATTATTATTTTAGTTTTTGTACGCATGTCCAGAAAAACTAAGGAAATATTGGTTAAAAACCTAAAGTGTCGAAAATTGTCTCATTGTCCTCTTCGCCTTAATTTAACTAAGGAAAGTCGTCTCACAATTTGCAGTATTATAGCTGAATGAACAAGTTTCTTCTTTGTTGAAGGAAAAGTAAAGTAAAGTACCACCTTAAAATTGGCCATAAGATCCGGTTTTCTTATAATTTTGTTAAAAGTGTAGTTAATGATACTAAACGGGAAATAAATCTTATTTAAAAATACACTGACCACGGCCGAAAAACAGCCTAGTCGCAAATAATCGAAAACAGTTTCCTGAGCCCTCAAACACATTCGTAGTTTTTTATTTTAGTGTTTGATATTTTAG